CAATAGACAACTCCACTCTCTCCCCCTCCCCTCATATCCGCAATCTTGGAGTCATCTTTGACAGCCAGCTCTTCTTTGATCACCACGTCACCCAGCTCAAGAACCGCCTTCTTTCACCTCAAAAATATAGCCCGCCTCCGTCCGCTACTCTCATTTTCTGTTGCTGAAACCCTAATCCATGCATTCATCACATCCAGACTCGACTATTGCAACAGCATCCTTTTCGGCACATCACCAAAGTCCTTAGTAAACTTCAATACATCCAAAACTCTGCTGCACGCCTTCTCACCCACATCCGAACACGCAAACACATCACCCCTGTCCTGCATAATCTCCACTGGCTCCCTGTCCTTACCGTATCCAATTCAAAATCCTTCTCCTCACACATAAAGCCCTTAACCACCAGGCCCCCTCCTATCTCACGGCTCTCCTTCACCCTCACACTCCTGCACACAGCCTCCGTTCCTCAAAAGCCAATCTCCTATCTCCCCCTCTTAGAACCAAGCACCAAACCTGGGGGGACAGAGCCTTCTCCATAGCTGCCCCCTCCCTCTGGAACTCACTCCCTACACACATTCAACACTGCACCAACCCTCCTACTTTCAAATCACTTATCAAAACTCACCTCTTTTTTAAAAAGCTTTTAATGTATGATTGTGATGTATTTTCTGTTTTCTGTAGTTTACCTTTATTGTTGTTATCTTTATGATTTGTGTGTAATGTTGCAATATCTGTTAGTCTGCCCTTACTGTGCTGTTCTTTGTTTTTAACTATTGTACAGTGTCTTTGAGTTTTTGAAAAGCGCTTATAAATAAAATGTATTATTATTATTATTATTATTGTTATTGATTTAAATTAAGGAGTTTAAAGTTAATCTTGTTTTACATCAGTATATATTTTAAATAAGATAATATGATAGGCACTTTATTGTCATTGTATAAAAGAACACAACTAAACTCTGAAGCAATCCCGTACAGCAGCCTCATCAAATCTGTTCAAATGTAAAAATATATCCTAAGCTATGAACTGGACATTAAGCATAACTTGTGCTACATTAAATGAGTAGAGACATAGCTCAGTAAACAGACGTTGTTGTGCAGTGAATAAATAATTAAACAGATAAAGTGCAGTGATTTGATGGATAAATAAATAATGTTGGTTAAAAGAAATGGTTTTAAAAGCAGTTGTTAGGTAAGCTTATACAACATGTAACTGAGTACAGGGAGAAAATAAAGGATCTAAAGATGCTTTTACATATTTCATTACTAATATTTTGGTAACATCAATCGCGGAGTCATCAAGTTTGGGTTATTCACTTTGCACTAGACTGATTTAAATCGTATTTGTCCAATAGAAGGTGCTGTGTGTCTATTAATAATTAATAAAATAATAATAAAGTTTGCACCATGTTCCATCTGTTAACATGGAGCAGGGATTTATGACCTGTACTGCAACCAGTCAACATGAAAAGCTCTAAATATTTCTGCTTCACTTTTCCCCTGCACAGGCTGTTCAATATTAGTCTTAGCAAATCTTATGGTGTACAGAAATTAACCTACAGCAGTATCTTTTAGGGATCTTCGAGAAAATAAGCATCTATCACATAAAGGAAGGTAAAGTTACATTTTTTGCACAATATTTTATCTACTTTATAAATCCCTATAGGGATAAATTCCGGAGACATGCTTCTCACAGACATAGGCCTGATATACACACATGCACAAACAAACCTGTGGTCATGCATTCATGGAGAGATGTCAGAGTCCAAACCAGAGTGGGGCTGCTACACAGCCCGCCAGAGCTGTTAGGGTTTGGCACCTTGCTCAAGAGCACCTGGGCAGTAATCGGGCACTGATCTGGCACCTCTCCAGCTAACAGACCAACTACCATACTTTGGTCTGACCGGGACTTGAACTGGCAAACCTGTCCAGTTCTCAACCCAAGTCCTTACAGACTGAGTACATGATGTTTGACGTAAGTAGTTGTGTAAGTTTAACTTGCAAAAACATATTCACCATAAATAAAAGCAACTGTGATCAAAAGACCCAAGAAACCTGTGCAGCACATTCAGGACTGCCCGGTCCTTATCAGTATCTGTCTACGTACAGCAGACAGACTGGAAGCTTTTCTACACCGCTGAAGAGCAGCCCACACCGCTGTGTCATTCAGACACTTCTTACTCATGTCCCTTACAGATGTCAGTGTGTGTGGTGATGACAGGGGAGACAAAGTGTATGTGTACTGATTGTGTAAACACTCAAACACTGTTGACAGGTCAAAGGGTGATGAGTCACATGGGGGATTTGCCCATCAGGTTACTCATCTTCTTTTGGAGGTATCAAAAGTATCATAAAAGTGTTAATGACCAGAAAACTAAGTTTGTGTTATGGTCCTGCTGATAAACATGGCCGGATTCATAATGATAATGTATTCATTGTCTTAGAAACAGGATTAGCAGGTCATAGATTTTATTATGATTATTAGAAGATAGTGTAGCGATGACCTGCTGTCCAACCACAACAAAAAATTTACATGAAAACTTTTTAGGGCACTTGTGTATTTTTTTGTTTAAGCAAAAGACCAACCAGTTCCAATTCAATTCAATTTTTATTATTTAATCTGCAAATATTATTTTATTTCATTGAATTTTATTAAAGGGGCTATATGTAACTTTTTACATGTATAATTAGTTTTTTATCGCCATTAATAAGCGAACGGTTAACTGATGTGAAAAAGTAGATGTTCACTGTCTATCTGTGTTGCCTGTATAAAAAGTTTCCCCGGGTCGTATTTTCCACGAAAGCTCCAGGAAGTGACATTTTATGCACGTTCTCAAAGTCCTCCTCACTCCGCTCCGCTTACAGAGATCAACAGTACAAACTCATCACACACTCCCGGCCTCAGCCAGTGCCTGCAGAGACTGTTGTTTGTAGGATGGAGAATGAATACAAACACACAGACTCCTTCAGACTTTCACATGTGTATGACCACTTACCTCCTCTGTAAACATTATGTCGGTAAATATCCAGTGTTTCGCAGCCGATGATGATGCTTGTTTGCAGTGTTGGGCAAGTTACTTTAAAAAAGTAATTAGTTACAGTTACTAGTTACTTCTCCCAAAAAGTAACTAAAGTAGTTACTGAGTAACAAATTATAAAAGTAACTAGTTACTTTGGAAAGTAACTATTGCGTTACTTTCAAGTAAATTTTTAAATGCTCAAATGTGTCAAAGAATTTGGACCCCACCTCCAACCCTCTTTAACAGAACTTAAAAAACATGTGCATGTTCAATTATGTATGATAAATCTGAATATTATAATGAAATGGACACTTAATACAATCAATAATTAACAGAAACAGTGTAAACAAATCTAAACTATTTTAATGTTGCTGTGGGACAAAGTGAGACTAGCCTCCAATCAAATGTCATGTATTATTGTAGATATTATAATTACTATGTTTATATAGTGGATCCGTAAAAATGACCTAATAGATGTTTTGTTTGCTGTGGTAGACAAATATTCTAATTTCTCGACATTCATTTGAGCATGTTGGGCGTCTATATAGTTCACGAACGTCTTTCTACATGGCAGGCCAACCCCTGCTCTGACCGGTATTTTGGCAACTAGTGCTCTGAATGACTCCGACTCAACCATCAATAATGGCAGCATATCCTCCACAACATACCTGGCTACCAGTTTGTTTAGCTCGGCCTGAGACAAAACGTGTGGTGGTGGGGCCGTAAAATCAAGCTTCGGTTGCTTAGGTTTTGTGGCACTGTCTCCTTCTCCTTCGGGAGTCTTCTTGGCCACTAATTTCGTGGAAGCATGTAGCATTGAAAGATGTTTCAATAAGTTTGAATTGCTCAACACCGACGTGGAGAGGCTTTTGACTCCAGGGCATAATGTGCATTTCACGATTACACTCGTTCCTTTAATTTCTTGGATGGAAAAGTAATGGCTATACTTCCATTTAAAGAAGGCTACTGTTGGATTATTTGGGCTCCCCATTCCTGTTTCTCGTTGACTCATTTGTGTTGTTGTGTGTCTGACTATGCTTTGCTTTCGAATTTGTGTAAACAACACCCGCCCAACACTACCTCTGATTGGCTCACTATGAAATTTTTACTCCACCTCAGCCAATCGTCATCATTTATGCGGTTGTCTCGTGTTCGCACTCACCAAAGAGGAAGAACAGTAAGAAATATCTCTGCCGCTCAGCTTAGAGATCTAGTTGGTCTGATGAAAAACAGCTTCAGTCATAGTAACGCACCGCATCTTTTGGCAGTAACGGTAACGGCGTTATAATGATGGGAAGAGTAATCAATTAGATTACTCATTACTGAAAAAAAAATTCTCTTCCACTTGTCGATCGGGAATAACAGTCCGACAGAAACAAAGACAAGATCCTACAGGATGCAACTTTTCTTGTGGCTATTTGCATTACTGTTGTGTTGTTGTGTTTGCGTCCATGTTGTGATATTTTCATTTGTGTTTTGGTGTGTCCGTAAGAGTTGTGGCCTTTCGCATTTCTTTTCCATTAAAGTGGTAGTATTTTCCCCTTGTGCAAAGCATTTTGGGAATGCAATTCTTCTTGGATCAAGATTGTTAAAGGGATTCTTCACCCATTTGCATTAAGCTTTGTGTCATTAGAAACCTGGTAGTATTTTTAAATCGTCATGCATCCCGCCCTCATTTTCCCCTGAGACGGTAAATCTTTGTATTTCTTGTCTGCAAAAGGAGCTTCCGATGATGTAAAATTCACCATTTTGCATCATCGGCGGCTGTTGTGGTCAGCAGGGTGAAACTACATCGTTAGTTCCTCATATTTTCGACCACTGAAGCTACAGACCTATCACAGATCAGTGACCTCACTCCCAGAGTGAGACTCCCACTAAAGACACTTTCTGCCTTTTCTCGGTCAAGAAGGCACCAACTTATTTATTTCACATTTCTACTACATATATGACCCAATGTCAATACAGATTCATGTTTCAACAGGTGAAGTATCCCTTTAATTTCCAAGTGTGTGTGTGTGTCTTCACTTGGCTGTGGGGTCGTTGATCTTGCCCATGAAGAGGATGCTTCCGGTGGTGTTTTCCACGATGAAAACCAGGAAGGGTCTGTTGATAGTGACTGATGGAGGCAAACTAAAGTAAATAAACTCTGCGAAACTGGTAGCTGCTGCCTCTGTTCCCATCTCAGTGACACTGAGCGCAGCCTTGTGGGACGTCTGTGAAAAAGACAGAAGGAAGGAATCGTAGGGAAAGGTCTATGAACAATTTTTTCCTTTTAAATTGATATACTTGATATACTTCCTTGAGGAGAGGCACTCCATATATCCATATATGTTTTTTCTTCAGAAAATACAATTTTCATAATAACTTTCAGCATCCTCTGGGGATCTATGTCACAAGAGTGCAGTTATTCCTGAACTAATATTTATGTAAGTACAAACTTAAAGCAACAATATGTCGACTGACAAGGTATAATAATATTACCAGATTACCAAATATGACGCTGCAAGCATCTTCAGCCTATTGTTTTCAAACTGTTTGCATGTGGAGTACGTGTATCTAATGTATATTCATATCTACAGGCTGTGGCTAAATGGCTACATTGGAGAAGGTGATGCTTGTTTAGACATGCCGGTTTGTAACGTTCCAAACTTATAAAGCTAACTTTAAGATCAACAATGAGAGACAACCTTTTGGCGTAGGATGGATTTAATTAAATCATAAGTATGCAAACCTGAGACATAACTTGGGTATATGACTTTCTGCATCCTGTAAAGCTGCTTAACTTGAGACAACAATGACACCAATAACAATACAGCCTTATTATGGCGCAATCAGTTATGACTAATATCTGCAGGGATGTACACTCTGCTTCTTGGTTGGTCACTCTCTCTTTTTCTCTTCTTAGCTTCTTCTGTCACCTTTTTCTCTTATCCTCAGCCAATGTATCAAACAGTGCAGAAACAGGCACATTGGCTTCTTTTTAATAAATAAAGGTTTGTGTATTAACAGATGTGATGAAGCCATACGCACTTCTCACGAGATTACCTTGGCCCGCTGCTGAATTTACATATTGCAGGTAGGCAATCGGAAAAGTTATTGAGCTATAAAATAAACCTTTGAAACTACTCTTTAAAAGTTGAAAAGTTACATAATGTTGTTTTAAAATTGAGAACAACCTGTCTCTTACCTTTGAGATTTTGAGCCTGACTTCTTCAGATATGCCGGAGAAATCCGCGCTGTCCTCAAAAACGTTGGTTATCCCCATTTCTTTTAGGGGTCTCTCCAGGGCAGCATCAGTAGAAATGGAAAATTTAGGCAGTGACAGCCGTATATAACTGGGAAACAAAGATAATTAACAATGTCAGAAACAACAAAATGTAAAGATGAATTCAGTTTGTGAAGACATCTCATCCTGTCACCATTTTCTCAATCAATAGTTCATATTGTTTTACATCATCAATGATTACTGGACCTTATTCATCCTCTGTTACGACCTCAGCTCATGGAAAAGGAAAGTAACACAAAGAACTAGTTGTTGTTGGTAAAATAAATTAAGTAAATAAGTAAAGTTATTTATTTACAAAGAAGTAAAACAGTAACAAAAGTAAGGCAAACTGAAAGGGCCATTGAGTGCTGTATAAAATCTAAGATTTGGCACAGCTACATCTTGGTATTGAGCAGCTGCTGAATCACAGGACCGACAGGCTTCTTTAGGCTGACTCGATGGGTGCTCCAATCTGATTGGTTTATCGGTTTTAGCAGCTGCTCACCAATCAGTCGTCTCAGCACAGGTGGATTGATCAGCAACCAGCTCTACAGGATGCAACACTCCCAACCAAGGCTGGACTGGTAATCTGGCATACTGGGCATTTTCCCGGTGGGCCAACGCATTTAGGGCCGGTATGATTTATATCATAATTCACTTTTTAATTGATTATCACCAACATAGCAGGGGCAGCGGCCCATTGGCTGTTATCTTGATAATGACAGTTGGCTTGCCCAATCACTCCTCCTACTGGGCCATCTCTGCAGCTCCCTCTCCACACTCTGTTTGCTCCTGCTCAGGGTTAAAAGTTTCCAGAGGAAATTACAAAACGATCCCTGGGATATGTAATGATACAATACAAAAGAAACTTGAATCAAGACGGCAAAAAGTGTGTAAAGACACTGCAGACCTGGTCTACTACTAACCCACTGTAACAGGTGGAGGAGGAGAGGTTTGTGGCACTGCCAGACAGAAACCAAGAGGAGCAGGTGTGAGACAGGGAAGCGGAAATAGGGTACATCGTGAACATGAGGGGAGTGAGGCCACTGCAACATCATCGTTCCAAGCAAGCAGTGAGTGAGGTCTGTAAAGTATCATAATACAGTAAACATAATTAGGTTCCCTTGATAAAGATGTGGGATGCAAGAGATGGTTATAAAGTACTCTTACCACACTATGAATGAACTCCATTACAAGTCTTTAATTTAAACCTTAGTTATGTACTAGAGTGTCAGTATTTTTAACTTTTTAAAGTTTTGATAGTACAGTAGTAAAATGTTTCTGCAAGTATTTTTCTCTCAGTGATGGTTTCAGTTGGAACATCTTTAAAGAGACACAGAAAGCGGTTAATCATGGCAGTTATTCCACTTGGTTGCGCAGATGATAAGCAGCTTAACTGGGACGGTAACACTTCCAACATCTCTGAGTTTGGCAATCTGGCAATTTGAAGTGAGGAATGACACATCTTCAAATCATTCTCATCATCAGATGTGTGATGGATCAATGAGAATCAAAACAATAGCTACAACATCATACTTTGTAGGAAGCAGTATGGAACAGGAGTAGATTTGGACCCGGTGTAATATGGCTGTAGAATGTTTATGTGACACATCTGGCAATTACATAGTCTGTCACTAAGACCATATGGACCGGACAATTTAGCGGAAAGTGCAGAACCAGGTATAGGCTGTTAAGCCAGTATTGTATCGTCAACTTGAAAGCGGAGCGGTCATAATTACGTTTCATCACACTTATTAAATAATAATAATAATAATAATAACTTTATTTATATAGCAACTTTTAAAAACACAGGTTTACAAAGTGCTTTGACAAACAGCAAGAACAAAGCAAACTAAACACAGAAAAACATTAACAACAGTAAGAATATAACAGATGCAAAATACCAAAAATAATTAAAAACAATTCAACAGAAAAGAACCCAAAGTGCACGATACACAACCAGACATATATAACCCAACCATCATAAGAACCATCATAAGAACCCAGGAACACAAGAACCCAACAACATGAGCTGAGACCAAGAGGACCAAAGATTTAAAAAGATGTAAGAAACTAAGAGATAAAAGCAAATAAAAAGCAATGAGAAGGTAAGCGCAGTAAAGGAAATAAAAACAAGTGGTTAAAGGATCAAAAAACCCAAAACTATAATATTAATAAAAATAAAAATTAACTATAAATACGAAACATAAATAGACAAAGTAAGTAAGATAAGAAATTACCAAGTTAAAACACAAGAGGAGATTAAGATATGAGCATAAATATGAGTTAAGACCATAAATAAAAGACAGTAAGAAGTAGAAGAAGATAAAAATAGTAAAACCAGTAAGAGAAGACATTAAGAAGATGACATCACATAAAAGCAAGTCTGTAAAAGTATGTTTTAAGAAGGGATTTAAAAGAATTGAGGGAGTCTGCGAGTCTTATCTCCTCAGGGAGGTCGTTCCAAAGTCGAGGGGCCCTGACTGAAAAGGCCCGGTCACCTTTAGTTTTAAGTCTCGACTTTGGAACGACCAGGAGGCTCCCACCCGAGGATCTAAGACTGCGGGCTGGCTCATATGGTGTCAGTAACTCTGTTATATAGCTTGGAGCCAGCCCCGTCCGTGCTTTAAAAGTAATGAGTAAAATCTTAAAATCGATTCTAGAACGTACAGGAAGCCAGTGTAATGAAGCTAAAATTGGAGTGATGTGATGTCGTCTGTTACAACCAGTAAGAAGCCTAGCTGCTGCATTTTGGACCAGCTGGAGGCGAGACAGTGACTTATTTGTGATTCCGGAAAAGAGGGAGTTACAGTAGTCAAGTCGGGAGAAGATGAGGGCGTGGATGATCTTTTCAAGGTCTCGTTGGGTTAGGATTGTTTTAATTTTGGAGATGGTGCGTAGATGGAAGAAGCTTGATCGGACAACTGTTTTGATATGGGATTCAAAGGTGAGATTGCAATCGAATGTTACTCCTAGATTTCTGGCGGTGGGTTGGACATTGGTGAATAAGGGACCGAGGCTGCTCTTTGAGATATGAGTGGTGTTTGGCGGGTTGAATACTATGATTTCAGATTTAGAATTGTTCAGTTGGAGAAAGTTTTGCGCCATCCAGCAGTTGATATCGCTTAGGCAGTTTCTGACAGCAGCTAGGCTCCTAGGGTCCTCAGGTCTCAAAGGAAGGTATATCTGTGTGTCGTCTGCGTAGCAGTGAAAGGAGACATTGTGGCGTTCAATTATTTGGCCAAGAGGCAGCATATAAATGGAGAATAAAATGGGACCTAAAACCGAACCTTGCGGTACACCACAGGTAATGTTAGAGGTAGAGGAGGAGTAGTTACCGATGGTGACCGCGAAGGTTCTTTCTAAAAGATAAGAGTAAAACCAGCTAAGTGCAGTATCCTTTAAACCAACCCAATGTCTGAGACGATCAGTTAAAATTGTGTGATCAACAGTATCAAAAGCTGCGCTAAGATCTAAAAGAATTAAAATTGTGCCCTCCCCTCTATCTGTTGCTAAAAGAAGGTCATTGGTTACCTTGAGGAGGGCAGTCTCTGTGCTGTGACAAGCTCTAAAACCGGATTGGAATTTCTCAAAGAGGTTATTTTCAGTCATAAAAGATAAAAGTTGTGTTGAAACCACCTTTTCTAAAACTTTTGATAAAAATGGAAGTTTTGAGATTGGTCTAAAATTGTTAAAATCAGTGGGATCAAGGTTGGGTTTCTTTAAAAGTGGTTGGACCACAGCATGTTTAAAAGCAGAGGGGACTACACCTTCCGCCAAGGAACTATTAATAATGGATAAAATACTGGGTCCAACTGTGTTAAAAACCTCTTTGAGAAATGTTGTGGGAATAAAATCAAGGCTGCACGTAGCTGATTTCATATGGGTTAAAATTTCAGCTAAAAAGGTCAAGGACACCGGCTCAAAACTGCTAAAATAACTGTTAAGTTCCCTGCTGGTGTCT